AATTAAATTTTATAGCCTGGTTTGGCAAACCACTGTCGTTAATGTGTTTAAATAAACTTGTGTACTGGAGCATCAGCCTCAATTTGTATCACTTATTAGAAATAATCATATGTTTACTCTGTCTATATTACTAATGTTTTATACTAAGAAATTATTTTCAGCATACATTAAAACTACATGCACTTGACTATGCAGGTTTTTTTTTTTTTGCACCGAGATGCCTTTGCTTTATTTAAAATTTATTTTTAAATGTATGTTTCTTTGAAAGTTCCATGTGAATAAATTGTTTCCTCTAGTTATCATGATTTATGGTAACCTGCTTCTTTTGTTTGTAGACTGTTCTGAAAGCAAAGTTTAAATATTTAAATAATATTGTCATAGGTTTTTAAAAATAATATAGAACACATTATTAATTACTTAAATATTTTTGAGATGCTTTCATTTCACCCTTATTTTTAGAATTTAGATATTTTTAGTAAATAATTATATTAATTGTTTAAAATATTTAAAAGCCATTTTACATCTGTTTTTATATCCATATTTGTAATACATAGTAATGAATGAGAAGTGATTAAATCTCAAAAGAGGAAATGGAAAATTGTTTCAAAATGTTTACATAAGCCTCCTTAAAACTTACTCCTTTATTTCCATTTTTAAAAAGTATTGAATAAAGCAGTTCAGGGACTTCTTTAAGAAATCCGGGGACCTGACTACAAAAGGCAGATGGTGAGACAAACTTTATAAAGAGTGTATAGACAGAAGGAGCTAGGCATTTCCTTCAGAAAAAGTGAGGAAAACAAAGAGGCTAACAGTTACTAGTATTATCTACTGGTATAGTAATCCTGACAGCATCCCTTACTGTAGGTAGCATTAACACCATTTTTAAAATGACAGGCCAAAGTCTTTTATCTAGTAGGAAAAGAACCAGAATGCAGACTCACTAGTGTGAGCAGAACCACAATTCAGAATTCAGACTCATGCTGGAGCTTTCTCCAGACCCAACTGCTCATCTTTCTCTTTGAGAAAGAGTGATACTTTTCACAGGCTAACAGAGAGAAACAGCATCCTAGTACCCTGCTCCAAAGATAGCTCATACAAAACATTAAAGCAGAAAAAGTAGAGACGTTGAGGAACAAAGCATTGCATTCTAGAGAGCACCTGACAATAGGGGTTTGCAGATGAAATCAGGAATCTAAAAACAGTTTAGCAAAGAAAGCTGTAGCACTTAAGCCTGTTCCAGTGCATCAAAAATACTACTTTGACTTTTTTTTGTTTTGTTTTTGAGTTTTTGCTCTCTAGTATTAAGCCTTATAAAGAGAAGGCAGAAGCTAAAAATATTTTAGTACTTAAGACTAGAATATAAATGAGCAAAGAACACGAAGAGATAAATCACAAAAGATCATACATTCTTAGTAAGCAAACATTTGCAATGTATTGTCTCACTAGTATTTAAAAATATGCCTGGAAGTATTTCTATTTTTCAGTTGACAGAAGTTTTTTAAAAACTATAGTCTTGTTAGTATATGTATACTAACAACCATTAACATTATATCATCATTGGACCCAAGATTGAAAGTCTTTCCTAGGAAAACAATACAGAATTAGAGAAAAAATGCTATATAATAACTCTTCTATATTTATATAAAGCACATATATCCATATTTGTGTATGTTCCTCATAGAATTGCTTAGAATTGATAGAAATTAGAAACATTCTACATGCTCAAAAATAGTCTTGAAAGCAGATATCATAGTTATTTGAGGTAGTACATTAGTTACTTAGCTCTTAATAAGGGCAGTTGGGTTGAGTTGGTTGGTTGGTTGGTTGGTTGGTTGGTTGGTTGGTTGGTTGGACAGCTGTGAGGGAGGGAGGGAGGCAGGTGCAGGCAAGGAGGTCGGCCTTCTTAAAATAGAGGTTTGCAACCATTGAAAATTATAACTGTAGCCACACAGAAAATCATTATAGTATTATAATGTAATGTAAGTGAAAAACACAGGATGGAAATTACTTGTACTCCATGAAAATTAGCTGTAGTACTTAAATCTGGAGTAACACAAAAACACTATGCATATGAAAAAGGAAATATGCATGATTTGTTCCCATGCTGTGGTGTTTTATATAATTGTAAAAAATTACATGAGCTGTTAGATTTTAAAATGAATGTATTTTAACCTGGGAGTAACAGAAATGTACTGTGGGCGTGTGATACTCTGTTACAAAGTTCTAAGGTAAGCCTAACTCTCCCCCGGGTCTGTATGTTGCAGAGACACCTTCATTCACTTCTTGGGAGCTATCTTAACGTTTAGATTTAGGGCATACTTATATCTCTGTTGTTGAATTCCTTTTTCTCATTTAGTAACACGTAAAGCTTGAGGATATTATTTTTTCTGTTAAAATTACTTCACTGCGTCTATGTAGTTTCAGAGTATATATGCTTGTGGATAAAGAGTTAACAAAACACTTTCTTCTTCTGCATGAGAATTGGATATTTAATTAACTGTCTAGCTTTGTTCCCTTGAAAACCTGAGAAAAATTGGAATGGCCACTATGTTTAGGCAGCATTGCTTATAATAAAAATTATTCTGAATCTGGATTGGGAAAACTATTAATACTTGATGGAAGACATAACTTTGTGCATCCTTGAGTTCAGTGACTTTTATAATAGGCATACCCCATATTGGGTATGAGATTTCTACGCCAGTACGTCTCCCATATCTCCCATTTGGGTCTCATCTCCTTGTATCTGAACTGTTGCACTTTTTCAAGAACTTGGCAGAAGAGAAGTATTTGTTGCTGTTCTGGCAAACTAGTCCCCACCCTACATCCTTCTGCGTGGACTGGTGTCATTAGGACTTCAGATGATCTCATGGGTCTGAATATATAATTACTCTTGGGAGGATCCCCAGAGGGTATTGCAGTACTAGAATTCTACAGTTAGTTTTTAATTTTCAAAGTGAGAAAATAGTTATTTAATTCATTTACTTTTATCAGTGCTTTGGGAAGAATATTAGACAGGACACGATTTTTAGTTCCAGTTTTTTGGTAATGGATTATGTTACCTTGGGCAAGTCACATAATCTCTCTGAAACTCGGTTTTCTTAAATGTTTGATAAGAAATTTGACCAATGACATTTCTGATGCTGCTTTCAACTCTAAATCCCATAGTTTTCTGATTTTCTTATCTTTCTAAGTAAATTTTTAATCCTCTTTCTTCATGGGAGCATTCCAGATTTCTTTTAGCCTAGCAGATGATCAGGTAGGTGAATGCCTAAGGTCCTGTAGTGTACATTCCTTCAAATTTAGGTTTTGGAAAAGTTGCCACATTATAGATGCATAGTTTTAAAAGAAACATTTGTTGCCATGCAATAGAATTTTAAGTTAAAAAAATCCTTTTTCAGTTACATTTGACATTCAATATTATATTAGCTTCATGTGTACAGCATAGTGGTTGGACACATATAATTTATGAAATGATCCTCCTAATAAGGCTAGTACCCACCTGACATCATGTTTAGTTACTACAGTGTTACTGACTGTATTTCCTATTCTGTACTTTACTGTGACTGTTTTTTAACTGCCAATTTGTACTTCTTAATCCCTGTACCTTTATTACCCAGCTGCCAACCCCCATCCCATCTGGCAACCATCAGTCTGTTCTCTGTAGCCTTGAATCTGTTTTTGCTCTGTTGGTTTATTTTGTTTCTAGGGTCCACATGTAAGTGAAATCATACAGTATTTGTCTTTCTCTGTTTGACTTATTTCACTTAACATAATCCCTTCTTCAGCAGTCCCCAAACCTTTCTGGCACCAGGGACCGGTGCTCCTATGAGAATCTAATGCCTGATGATCTGAGGTGGAGCTGAAGCAGTGCTAGTTCTGGGGAGCAGCTGCAAATACAGATGAAACTTTGTTTTCTCTCCACTCACCTCCTACTGTGAGGACCTGTTCCTAACAGGCCAGAGACTACTATCGATCGTAGCCTGGGTGTTGGAGACCCTTACTCTAGGTCCATCCATGTTGTCACAAATAATAAGATTTCATTATTTTGTATGGCTGAGTAATATTCAATTGTATATATGTACCACATCTTTATCCAGTCATCTACCGATGAGCACTTAGGTTGCTTCCATATCTTGGCTATTGTAAATAACGCTGCAGTGAACATAAGGTTGCATATATCTTTTCGAATTAGTGTTTTGTTTTGTTTTTCGACAAATACTCAGAAATGGCATTGCCGGGTCATAAGGTAGTTCTATTTTTAATTTTTTGAGGAATCTCCAAACTGTTTTCCATAGTGGCTGCACCGATTTGCAATCCCACCAACAGTGCACAAGGGTTCCCTTTTCTCCACATCTCTGCCAGCACTTGTTCTTGGATTTAGTGAGGATAACCATTCTGAGAGGTGTGAGGTGATATCTCATTGTGGTTTTAATTTGCATTTCTCTGATAGTTAGTGATGTTGAGCATCTTTTCATATGTCTCTTGGCCATCCATGTGTCTTCTGGAGAAATGCCTATTCAGATCTTCTGCCCGTTTTTTAATTGGATTGTTTGGGTTTTTTTGGTGTTGAGTTGTATGAGTTCTTTATAAATTTTGGGTATTAACCACTTACCAGATATATCATTGGTAAATATAATCTGCCATTCAGTACGTTGTCTTTTAGTTTTGTTGATGATTTCCTTTGCCATGCAAAAACTTTTTAGTTTGATGTAGTCCAATTTGTTTATTTTTTTCTTTTGTTTCCCTTACCCTAGGAAATATATTAGAAAAAATATTACCAAGAGCAATGTCACAGAATTTAGCACCTGTGTTTTCTTCTAGGAGTTTTATGGTTTGGGGTCTTACATTTAAGTCTTTAATCCATTTTTAGTTTATTCTTATATATGAATTTAACGAAGTTAAAATAAAAATATTCCAACTTTGGGAGGGGAAAATCAATTAGAATGAAAGTTTGAAAAGCTTTGATTATTTTAGAATTTCATTTCAACTTCCACTTACAGGTCGTGAACTGGCTCGAAGGACCTGGATCAGAACAACTAAGAGCCCAGTGGGGGATTGGAGACTCCATCCGGGCTTCCCAGGCCCTGCAGCAGAAGCACGAGGAGATTGAGAGCCAACACAGTGTGAGAGGCTTTTTTCCCTCTGCAAGTTACAGTGCTGATCATGTGCATCGTTAGTAACATGTGTGACGCTAAGTTGCCCTGAACTTTGATATAGGACATAGAGTGTAGTATGTTCAATGTTTAGAGACCATAAAGTACATTTTGACCACTTGGTACATTTTCATTAGAAGTTTGGCTTTGGTTTTGTCTCCAATACAGTTTAATTACATATTTTTATAGAAACAAAATTTATGTGAAAATTTAAAAACTACAGTGACAGAAGAAAGAGTGATAGTACAAAAATAAAACCTTTATCTGTAGTCCCTGAGACAGAAACTGTGTTTCTTAAGTCCTCAAAGAGAAATCTGTCCCTGCTTTATTGGGAGTGTATAATACAGTTAAATGCCTGAGAGTAATTCCGGAATCATTAAATACAGCTGATGGAGAGTGAGTGCAAAGGGTACAGGATATCTTTTCATTCTTTCTAGACTTAGAGGTTCACATTTGTAACTGAGAAGGGGATGTGAAATCACAGTTACGAAATTGGGAAATTAATTTTTAGGCAGGTTATAGGTAATAATTGTTCAAGAGGGTTTAATATTTAACATCTTGTTATGTGAAGGAAACTAATAGATATTAAGCTCTTGCTGTGTTATAGTTAACTCTTCATTATTGTGATGATGATCATCTAGTTTGTGGATCATTTAGCTCACCCTTTTGCTCTCCCAATTCATGTTACTTACTATGGTAATTTTAAATAGACTAGGAAGTTGGAGAAATAAAACTTGACGTCATTAATTTCTATCTCCTTAGATTATATGTCTTAAAATTTTGATCAGTTTATACACACACACTTATAGTATTCAGACTTACACATAATATGAGGAATACAACAGTTCCACATAAACAGATAATATTCTGATTGGATTTATGTATTAAGTGAAAAAAAACCTCATGTGTCCAAAGGGAAATATAATAGACATCTTGACCTCTAGGATCTGAATGCACAACGATGGAGAACAGTATTTAAAAAAATTGATCATTAATAATGTTAAACTCTGGGCCCAGATGAGATTTAAGGATCATCTAAGGAATAAATATCGACTATAATTTTCTCAGGAACAAATTTGAATTGTTGACAACGAATCATTTGCCCTTTATTAGAGATGTGATTTAACAACACCTGACATAATAATGTTTAGTATATACCTTTTTGTTTAGTTTCCTTATATTGTTTACAATATTCCCCAAATCAGCTTTAACGATCAGCAAGATTGGAAGATAAAATACATACTGTACCCTAGATTATAATCTAGTTGAGGGAATAATATATAAGCAAGAAGTATCACAAGATTTGGAATTATCTAAAGATAGTATATAGATTGTCTTTGTAGTTTTCCTAATTAGCACTTGTAAGAAGCTTAAAAATGAAATTCCATAATTGAAAAGCTGTATCTTCTGCTTTTCACAGGTTCCAACATAATGGCATTTTTCTTTTCATACTAAAAAAAATATCGCATAACTTGTATTTAATTTATAACCTCTGTTCATGAAGTTCTAATATTTTTATTATCTTGATACTTTTTAAATAACAATGCTGTTGATAATTTTTATAGATTATGATTTACTTGAACCCCGTGGTTTGTTCCTGGAGCATGTTACTATAGAATTACTATATTTTACAATTTAATCCTCCTCTTTAGTTCTTGAAAACAGTATTTGCTGTGGAACATTCTAGACTTCATCTTGAGCAAGAGTCCCCAAACCCTGGGCTGTGGACTAGTATTGGTTCATGGCCTGTTAGGAACTGGGCTGCGCAGCAGGAGGTGAGCAGCAGGCAAGCAAGCGAAGCTTCATCTGTATTTGCGGCTGCTCCCCAGCGTTAGCATTACTGCCTCAGCTCCACTTCAGATCATCAGGCATTAGATTCTCATAGGAGCACTGGTCCCTGGTGCCAAAAATTTGGGGACTGCTGAAAAGGATGAAGTTATGAAAGTATCCAAAACTACTTTAAATAAAGATACATGACACATGAGGATCCTAAAGACAGAATTTATCTGTATTATTTTTAAAAGATGCCAAGAGGAATAAATGTACTTAGAAGTTGGATTATATATATATTATAAAGAAGTTTACAAAATTCAATTACATACATGTTATAAAGAAATTCACAAAAGTATAACTACATATACAAAAAGTGTACATTGAAAAGTACATTTTATATTGCATATAATATGGATGAAATTACGGATGGTATATAGAGATTTCTGTGTTTAGATGTTTGTTTTTGTATTTTTACTATATAAGGTTCTAAAATCAACTAAAAGAAACAACTTGCTTATGGATGATTTTTTCCATTTGCTTTAGTTTACTTGTAATGTAAATCAGTATAAAATTCCAGAACTTTTGAATTGAAAAAGATCTTATAGATTATTCTAATACCAATCACCTTATTTTATGCATGAAGAAACTGGGAGATTACATGTTTTAATTAGTGAGTAGCTGGACAAAGGTTAAAATATTAATCTCGATATTCAGATGAGATTCTCTCTCACTCCGTCTCTATCTCACTGCTCTTTCTCCCCTCCCCCTTTCCCTCTCTCTCCCTTTCTTTCCCCCTCTCTCTTAGAGAAAGCTACTAAATTTCATGGACTTGCTTAAGATCTAGCATTTTTTAATTCTTATACTTGAGGACTTACGTACATACTTTGATGTCTGCATCCATAATCATAGTGCCCAAAGAAAAGAAACATCGATGGCTTATCACGGATCTCATTTTTCTGAATGACATAGTATCTGGAATTTGTTTGAAAATTGGGAGGTGGGGCAGATTAGATGGAATTATAGATGAAACAGGTTGGCCATGAGTTGATAATTATTGAAGATGAATGGTTAATAGGGTTTCATTTTACAGTTCACCCTTGGGCAATGAAGGGGTTAGGGGCACGGAACCTCTCCTGTGCTTTGCAGTCTAAAATCTGCATATGACTTTTGACTCCCCCAGAATTTAACTACTAATAGCCAACTGTTGACCGGAAGCCTTACCAATAACATAGAGTCAATTAAGATATAGTTTGTATATGCATTATATACTGTATTCTTACCATAAAGTAAGCTAGAGAAAAGACGTTATTAAGAAAATCATAAGGAAAATACATATACAATATTTATTGGGAAAAAAAGTGTGTAGGTGGATCGACCCATGCATTTCAAACCCGTGTCATTCAAGGGCCCGTGGTACTGTTCTTTCCACTTTTGAATAGATTTAAATTTTTCCATTCTAAAAGGTTTACAAAAGAGAATTGCGCCATTTTAACCAATAGGTGGCACTGCACTGTCACCTTGAAAATAGGTTCATGCAGTATATTAGCTTATGATGTTTAAGATAGTCTAATATTTTATTAAAAGCTTTCTTTTTGTAAATAAAAGTCAGTACTTTAAAACATGTGTTGGAATTGTTCTAGTCTCATGAAATTATAATGACAAATTTCTAGTGTATTATTGCCTAATAATAGAATTTGAAGAAACTGTAAACATACCATTTTATCTTAAAGCACTCTGTCAAGTATTAAGTTTTAGATTCTTCATAAAAGCATAATTTAGAAATAAAGCTAAAATAAATTCACATTTATTATCCAAGAATTGATTTATGTTTTTAAAGATCACTGGCTGTTGTATGGAGAATAAGGAGTAGGGACAAATAATGAAATAGGAAGACAGGAGGCTAATAGAATGGAGGCAGTAGAAGTAATGAGAAGTTGTCAGATTCATGGATTAAGCCAGCAAGACTCACTCTTGTAGAAGATTCAGATGTTTGGCCTTAGTGACTAGAATTAAGATGGGAAAGACTGAAAAGGAAGCAGGTTGGGAGGCTGGAAAATCAGCATCTTTGGGGACAGTTTAAATTTTAGATATCAAAAAGTTATCTGAATGAAAATGGCTAGTAGGCAATTGGGTATCAGTATCTAGGGTTCAAGAAAGGGGTCAGGGTTGAGAGTATTAATTAATTTGGGAGTTATAATCCTATAGATGATTTCATCTAGTCATTTAAAGGCATTGGACTAGATGAAATTATCCAACCCCAATGAGTATTGATTTAGAAGCAAAAAGCCTTTGGAAAATTAAACCCTGGGTCAGTCCTAAATTTAGAAGGCAGGAAGAGGAAGGAGAGCCAGCAGGGGAGGCCAAAAAGGAGCTGTCTCAGGAAATGAGAGAAAGACATTTCAAGGAGGAGGAATTGGTCATCTTTGTCAAATGTGGCTGTGAAGTCCAGTAAGATAATGACTGAGAATTTGACACGAGTGGTTTAATAAAAGTAGGAAGGACAAAACCCTAATCAGAGTGGATTAAAAAGAGAATAAGAAATGAAGATAAAATGAGTGTAGAGAACTCCTTAAGAGAGGTTTATTGGGTTTTTTTACTGAGTTTTAATTTATATATAGTCAAATACACGTATCTTAATTGAATGTTTTGTTTTTTAATATAAAATACTATATATTTGTATGCTGACGGAAATAATCCAGTTGAAAAGGAAGAATCGATGATAGGAAAGAGGGAGAAGGTAATTGCAAGAGCAAAGTCTTGTGCAGGTGACCAAGATTAGCACATAAGACACAAGTTGTTGGCTTTAGAAGCAGGGACAGTTTATCCATTATTATAATAGGGAGAGCGAAGCATAGCACTACAAAAGCAGGGAACTTAATAGATTTGTTGGTGAGATGTGAGAGTTCTCTTCTGGTTGCTTTCAAGTGAATTAAAGTTAGGTTTTTGATTGAGAGTAAAGAGGTGAAAAGGAAGTTGGAGATTTAAGGAGTGAAAAAAACATCATCATGAGAATGGGAAAGCGAATTGACTAGAGAATTATAATAGGATCGTTAAAAGCCCATTTGGGATTATTTAGTCAGAACTTTTAAAAGACACCTATCCACATGGTTGTGTTTATTTAGCCACGTTCAGCTACTCTGGCGTAGGTACAGTAGGCAAAGAAAGCAGGTCTGAGGTTGATAGGTAAATCTGATGAAAGGAAGGAGAGAAAGATGTGGGCATGGGTTGTGCCCTGGGAGGTGTTCATAGCCTCTGTCTGATCAAGGATAGAAGTGAGGACTCCTGAGTGCTGGACAGTAAAACATGCTGAGGTGAATGCATGCTGAGGGACCCCATGGGGTTGTGGGAGTAAGCCTACTAAAGGATGTGAATTGGAGAGTCAGTAGCTGGTGGTCAGAAAATGGGATTCTTGAAATTGAGATTTGGGGAGCTCTTCAGTAGTTTATAATAATGACAGGATTTTATGTCCATTGGAGTGGGTAGCTGAGATAAGATGAGGACAAGATAGTTGGAAACAAGGAAGTCAAGGAACTGAGAGTTCGGTGTTGGGGTAGATGTCCACATGCTGGCAGTCAATAAGAAGATTGGCATCGAGAGGAAGGCAGTGACCTTTGCTAACCTCCCTGGATGTGGGCATGCAAAAGGAAAGGTTGGAAAATGGAATCTGACAGCATGCACTTCAAAGGAGATGTGGTTTTTGAGAGAATTAGGAGAAGGAATGATCTTGGAAATACTAATGAGGAATGGGCAGCCCTTCGCTCCTGCCCCCACCTCCAGGCTTGTGGTATGTCAGCTATGGAAACAAAAGCAGGAGGGCTGCAGGGCTAACTGCTTTCTCTGATGCGTGGACAGGTTTCACATAAAGCACGAAAAGAAAAGGGAACATTTAGAGGCTGGGATGATACTATAGGAGATTTTGCTGTTGTCAGGAATGCGTTCAGGGATTGCAGTGGAAAGATTTAAGAGTTGAGCACTTTGTGTCCTCAATTTGAATAATTTTGCTTAAGAAAATTCTCATGTAACTATGTGTTACTTATTATATCTTAGAGAAATTATACAATATAATGTAATTCTCCAGGAACTAATTTTACCCTTAATTTACTTTACAATGTCTCTATCATAGGAATGGTTTGCAGTATATGTGGAGCTTAATCAGCAAATTGCAGCACTTTTAAATGCCGGAGATGAGGAAGATCTTGTAGAACTGAAGTCGTTGCAGCAACAGCTTAGTGATGTTTGTTATCGACAGGCCAGTCAGCTGGAATTTAGGCAAAATCTCTTACAAGCGGCCCTTGAATTTCATGGTGTTGCTCAAGATGTAAGTGTGTACTCTGTTTTTCTTTTCTTCAAATTATCTGAACACTTATCTGCACATAATTTTCGCAGGTTTGCATGTCTCCTAATTATTTTTCTGGAACGATAAAATAATGTACTGGTGGGGGAAATGAGATAAAATTCTTTGATTTTTAAAAATTTTTATTTTTAAACCATCTGCATGCAACTAAACCTTTTTTTTTCTTTTGTCTAAATAGTGTCCAAAACTAATAGATATATTTTATTTTGATCGTTTCTCAATGTTTATGCTATATAACATACATTGAAATGGAAGTTTCAATATTTTTTTACATTCTACTAACCTGGACATATTTGTCTTCCTGGTGCATGCGTTTGTGTGTTCTGTCTTTCAGATAACATGTATTCTAATGATTCGTTCTTGTCTTTTAACAGCATAGTCTTTTTCAAGTATAATTGTGATAACTTCATTAGATATAAACCTCATTAATCATTAAACCCTTTAGATGCTGATTACATCAGGGTTATCTCTTTGGTGTCCCTCTGCTTTAGTTGTCTCAGCAGTTGGATGGCTTATTAGGGATGTTGTGCGTAGATGTAGCACCAGCTGATGGAGCATCGATTCAGCAGACTTTAAAACTGCTTGAAGAGAAGCTGAAAAGTGTTGGTAAGCAGATTTTAAAAATGCTGAAACATAAGGGTTCTTTTTAAAAGTATATTATTACCATGGTTAAACAAGTCAACTTCTATTGAACTACTTATAATTATTAACAGGAAACACTGGAAAAATTAGTGTAAACAAGGTTTTCCCTTGAAAGGCATAATTTATGCTAAAATGTTTATTTTTCATTGTTGGCCAGTTATTCTTCCTTCACTGGGCAGTTAGCCTTTCTTGTTTACCCAGCTATATCTACAGGTGCTATGTCTTGCGTATACTATGAACAGTTACTTGTAGTGCATGCATAAACTGTAATTAGCTGTGAAGTGTTCTGTGATAAACCCTGTATGCCCAAAACTGTGTTTTATGCAATGATTTTTGTTGTTGCTATATCCTAACCTTGTGAAAAAATAGTTGGTTGGTTTCTGCGCATTTGTTTTTCCAAACTGGGAGTATTGCCAAGATTAATATTCTTTAAGGGGGAATGGACCAATTTCATTAAGCTAATTTTCTCACTTGACATCAAGACCTTTTAAAATTTAGTACAGTAGGAAATACAGTGACTTTCCCTAAGTCATGACTGGAGAGGCAGTTGTAAAAATGGGAAGTGGGGGTGGGTTGAGTGAGACAGGAGAGCAAAGGGGAATTGAGAAGAGGAAGCGGAAACCTAAGAGATTTAATAGGAAATGGTGATACATGCTTGAATCGAATTAATTAATTATTGAAAAGAACTTGAAGAAATGGGTTTGAAAAATCATGTTTGCATTGGCATTTTACTTGCTTGCAGCCTTTGTTATTTTAGCAAATGATACTCATAACACATATTTAATATTTAATATGCCAAATGAAATTTATTTCAAAATGTCAGAAGTTTTCCTGAGCCACACTATTTCTTAAAAAAAGAAAAAATGTCACTGTATACTGTTTAATTTGGAGTACTTAAACATATCCTAAGTGTTGCTTCGTGATGGGTATAAGCTTGGGTAGTGTCTATACCCAAATGTTCAGTGTTCCTTAACATTACTTGTTTTGAAGTCTTTCAACTCATACATTTTTTTGAACAAAATATTTGCCTTGTTATGGACTACATAAAAGCAGAAGGGAAAAAATTTGAAAAATCTTACACGTCAAAATAGAAATTCTCACACTTTCTTCCAGCTTTCAGTTTTGAAAAGTAATTATTACTTATGGAAATTCACCTTTTAGAAATTCTCTTTAAGGAGAATTTGGCATGAGAGGGAACTCCAGTTAGAGCCACATGTAAAGGGGTTTTATTGTTTTATTCAGAGGACTCCATTCCAAGGTAATTTAAGGCACAAAGCTACTGTTACTTGGAATCTGCTGAGAGGGCTTGCTTGAGGGAGGGAAAACACCTCCATTGTTTAAGAGGCTAAATCTAGTAACTTTTGTTTTAGATGTAGGATTGCAAGGTTTGCGTGAAAAAGGTCAAGGTCTTCTGGATCAGATCTCCAATCAGGCATCCTGGGCCTACGGAAAGGATGTAACCATTGAAAATAAAGAAAATGTGGACCACATACAAGGAGTGATGGAAGATATGCAGCTTAGGAAACAAAGGCAAAGTTTGACTGTTAATGTTAATTTTTGCTAAGACAGCATAATTAAAATGAAAAGTGATAATAATGTATATTTTTCATTGAAACTCAAAGTTCTTATCTGTTATATAGTAGGCATGTAGTAAGATTTGGTGAATGTAATAATTATTGTATATAATTGTACTAACAAATAATGACAGTTTGTTCAATTAATGGGTACCTTTTCCCTTTTTTGCACACTTAGAAATTTAAGGTTTATCAGCAAAATCTCCAGAAACTCTCCTCCTATGTCACAGAGAAAATAGTCATCAGGCAGAAATTCCTTCTCCCCTCATATCTGAAAATTTATCTATTTCATTCATTCTCATCACAAAGAATATAGCTCTGCTATTATCAAAGCTGATCCTTCCATGTGCCCTCATGTCTCCTCACTCCATCCGCTCCCATTCTCTATTCTGACCTCTGTATCTCATTTAAATGCTTAAATCGCTCCCATTTCTAAAAATTAAACAATTGCACACATGTATAAACCTTCCTTTTCAGCTCTTTCTTTGTTTCTAACCCTAGAGCTCTCCTCCTTGACAGCTAAGTCATTTGAAGGTCTAATATTTCATAATACTTCCTCACTACCTCTAATTTACTTTTCAACCCTCCTCAATCTGTCTTTTACTCTCACCTGAATTTGGTCTTACTGATGTCACCAGTGACTTTGTAATTGCCATATGTAATAAACATTTATCTTGCTCAAAATCCAAGAATACTTTTAGTCCTGGCCTTGCTCGACCACTCTGAATAGCATTAGATACAGGCGAATTTTTGTTTATTCTTGAAATTCCCTGACCACCTTCTCTTCCTTTAAGACACCTTCATGATACTCCTAGCACTCTACTTCTTCTTATTCACTGTTTTCTTGTCCTCTAGCTATTGTCACTGCTTCCAGGGTTTGTTCTGAAGCCAAAGTCTCTTCTCACTCTACTTGTTCTCCCTGGACAGTATCACTACTTTAATGACTTTTTAAAAAATAATCACAATTGAGTAATTATGACTCCGACACAAACCCCTCTCCTGTGCTCTAGACACATAATTCCCCTTGCCTACTGAGTGTCTCCACCTGGATGCCCTGTGCACTCCTTAAACCTAATATGTCCAGATTGGAACCATTCCCCCGCAAACTATTCCCTTTCTAAGTTAAAGTTACCATCAGCTACCAAACTTGGGATTTATCCTAAAATCCTTATTCTTCCTCATCCCCACAGCCTAGTCAGATGTCTAGGTTCTGTTATCTCAGAATCTTGAGCATTAATTTCTTTGTTCAAGATTTTATCTCTTATTTACCTCATTTTACTCATCTCTAGTCCACATCTAATTATACAATTTCCTTATATAAAACCCCTCTCAGTGACTTCCTATTTTCTCAGATGATGTTCAGCCTCCTTGGAATAGTGTAGGAGACCATAGTCCGATTCTGCATAGTCTAAGTCTCATCTCTTATAACTTTGCCACAAAACCACACAGTTGCTTTCATCTTCCTAAATGTGTCATGCTGTTTTGTGCATCCATGACTTAGACTACTTCTTTCCTCTTTATCTGCCTAGTGTATTCCTTCGTATTCTTCAGGACACAGGGATAATTATCTTTGGAAGTCTTAGATTTCTAAAGCAAATTAGTCACTTGTTCCTCCCTACTCCCATAAATTCTTTACATAGCTTTACAATAACATCACATTGTTTATTTAACCATCCATCCTCCAAGATGTGACCATCTTAATAGTAGAGACCATGTTCTATTTTTTCCAAGCACATTATTCAATACCTGACAATATGTGTTGAATACATGTATATTATCTTCATCGTTAAGGTATCTTATATTGTTTTTGAGTTTCAGATTTTAAAAATAATTTTCATCATCACTTCCCTTCAGCCCCTTGTAGAATTACTTTAACCAAGTTGCATTTTGACAGTATGCTATGGGCTTTTACTGCGGGCATCCTTATAAAAATAGCCTTGTGAGAGTGTCGTCTGATTGTTATTAAGCCTTCTTTAAGAACATCAACTGCAGTGGAGCCCAGTGCCTCCTGGTTAACTTGTTGTTGGTATTGGACTGCAGTGAGATTCCTCCTTCCCACTTAAAATATGTGGAATTGCATGAGAATGAAGGGAATACTTCAGAGCTGAGTTAGGTTGAGTCACTTTAAAAGTTTAATCTGTATATTATCCAGGCAGATAATAGTAGTATTAAAAAAAACTCTGAATTGTGTTTCTCTACACCTAGAGATCAATAGTTTTTTTTTCTTCTTAAGAATATAGATGGAGTTTTTATTTCTTTTGTTCAAAATTAGATATTACTCTGAGTAATTTAACATAATGAGAAGTGTTCATTTTTTTAATTTCCTTGAAGGTCATCCTCTAAATTAGTGTTTGGGAAACTGCATTTTTATCTTTGAAACTTGTTTAATGATAATTAGCAATGGAGATTTCTTTGGGTTTTAGCGTACTATTGCGTTTATGCTTTGCTTCAGTCCTTTTCAGAATCCATGCTATTCTCAAGAGGATTTGTGATTCAGTATTATTCAGGTATTTTGAGGTTTTAATGTGATTTAGATATAGATATCCTTAAAATTTTTACAAATCGATACAAAATAGTTACAGTCTCCATAGTGTAGGACTAAGTATTTTAGCATGCTATATAAAGTGCCAGATGATGATGATATAATAGTTATCAATAAAACTGAAATGACGTCCTAAATTTGTTTGGGTTTATTAGATGCGAAGACATGGTAGATGTGCGGAGGTTAAAGATGCTTCAGATGGTGCAGTTGTTTAAATGTGAAGAAGATGCTGCCCAGGTAAGGATCAATCAGGTACATTATATAGTCATTTTTTCTTAGATGATTGATTTCACCTAACTGTAAGCAAAAGTGTACTTTTCATGGTCATAAGAAAGTAACATTAAGTCAGATTATAGTTTACTGAAATAGTGAAGTTTTGTGTTCCCAGTTATCTTACTAGTCTCATTTGTCTTCTCAATGAACTCCTCTATTTAGCTAGCAATTGGGATTATTTATTATTTATTATTATTGACTTGTCGCCAGTTACATCCCAAGATAAAGACTGGATAGCACATTGCTTTTTAATGCACAAGAGGGTTTTTCAGCTAAACAATTTACTATCTTGGTGTAGTTAGCATCAGAGAACATCATTTCAGCTTGACGTAGAAGAAATTTATGATCTTAAATGGTAACCTAAGTCTGTAATAATACGTGATATTCTATTAATGTAAATGTTGCGATATAACTTAGAGTGCATCTCTTTAAGAGCTCTTATCTTTAGATTTTAAAACTTTTGAGGGAGAGGAGAGGTCATTCATCATGTAGATTGGCATTGAGTGAAATAAACTATTAGGAACTTAGGTTATAACTAATGGATTAATTAATCAAATGATATAATCTTTTTATAAATATGATGTTTTGATAAGTAAAGACTTATGAGTCCAACTTTACTGTTATTTGTTTTCATTTAGGCAGTAGAATGGCTAAGCGAACTTCTGGACGCTCTGCTTAAGACCCACATCAGATTGGGCGATGATGCTCAGGAAACGAAAGTTTTACTGGAAAAGCATAGAAAATTTGTTGATGTTGCACAGGTGCAGAACTGGTTATCTTCCTTTTCTACAAGCTCAGTGTTTAAATAGCTTTCTGCATGATTATAATGTAACTTAACCCTCCAAGTTAAAGAAGGTTAGTTATGCTATTCCAGAAGCATCACAGAGCTAAGAAAATGTCAGCTGGTGCATCAAAACTAGCCTGCATACACTTGAGAGAGTTTATGTTTCCCTGAATTACAGGTTCTGTATGCTCCTTCTGATTTATGTTACATGTTGTGGCATTTTTTTTAAGGCAGTTCAGCTATCCATTCACGAAAGTTAATATGAAATAAATGTTAATATTAGTAAATTAGAAACCCCAGTTCCTGTATCTCACCAGTGTTAGCATAACAACAGAGATTTTTTTGTTGTGAAAAGTATCTTAATTAATTTCCTTAATAATTGAGTTTAGTGTAACAGTTGTGGTTTCCTGTATGGAATATAAAGTGCCTGTTTCCACTCACTTGTCTTGATTGATGAGCAAACAGACATTTTTTTTGGCCCATGGAATTGAGCAGAGTGAGATGAGCAGGGGAGACAAGATTAAGAAACTTACTGAAAACTAAAAGAATTACTTCCCCTTCATTATTTATGCTTGCAGATAATTCGTAGTAATAAGTGCCAGGAGAGTCATTCAGTATTGATTTCTAGTAGTGTCACTTATCTCCAACCACACTTTCCCATCCCTCTTTTCAGAATTCCTTTATTATAATTTCCTGTTTACTTTTCTTTTTAGAGCACTTACGACTATGGAAGACAGTTGCTGCAGGCCACGGTCGTGTTGTGCCAGTCTTTGCGCTGCACTTCTCGATCATCTGGGGATACACTTCCTCGACTGAACAGAGTATGGAAACAATTTACAATAGCATCCGAAGAGAGAGTACATAGGCTGGAAATGGCTATTGCATTTCACTCAAATGCCGAAAAGGTTCGCTTTTCAAAAAGTATAGTAACAATAGTATTTATTGTATGTGTTTAAAATGTGTTCATTTTAATAATGTTATTATGTGGTTACTCTGTTTTTTAAAACTTTATATCCCATTGTTCAAAGTTTGTGTAGATATAATATCTTAGTTCAAATCAAATTCTCTTAGTAATTTATATCAGTGGTGGAATATTGTGATTGGAGAAATTCACAACCATTCGGTAGCCTTCTCTCTGCAGTGTCTCTTCACCAAAACTGACACCAAGAATGTGCTGTCCATTTTTTAGGATGTCGTGACTCCCATCTCATTCATTATGCTAGGAAAAGAAACTTAGCTTCAGTAACAACTTGCTAATTGTCATAAAATTTTTAAAAGGACGCTTTTTAATTTTATAATGTTTAAAGTAGAGACTGTCCAACTGAAATGAGAATGAGGATAAAAATTAAAACCTTTTTCATATGTTATCTTTAAAGATTAATTCTAGACTTTATTATTTAATGAATTAATTAGTTCCAGAAACCAAAAATGAAATATGCAGTGTTTTGGGGCCACTTTTTAATGGAACTTTTTTCTTAATTCAGCACAGTGAAAATTTATAGCACCCAACCCTTACATTTTCTTTCTGAAGAAGAGCTTTATTATGTTAACTTTGTTTTGATCTCTTACAATGAAAGTTTATATGTAGGGATGTTCAGTACAATTTAAGATATGAGCAACCTGAGTTGTACAATTATTAGCCTTGTCTGTAGAGCAGAAGAGACGTTGCCAGGAACCTCAGGAATTAAGCGTTTTCTGTCTGTGTTAGGCAGTGCATCTGTTGGGAAATGTTCACAGTAAACTCTCTGAGCTGGTCACTGAACTCCACCGATCAGTGTTTTATTTTAAAATTGGCCTAATGATTATGAATAAAAGTATGCAAAATGGCTTACCTTGTTTACTGATTATTTTAATGAAAAAAATTTGAAATATAATATTAACATAGTGTACAGATTATAAATGTTCTGTTTTCACAGTGAACACACCTGTGTAATCAATGCAATATTTAAACAACAGTGTTACCAGTACCTGAGACGTTCTTCAAGTGCCTTTTAGTCACACCACTTCTCCCTTCTGTCCAGGGGTGACCACTGGCCCTATTTCTAACACCACTGAAAACTTAGGATACTGCTTTTTAAAGATATCTGCAAAGACATTTTAAAATCTAGACCTCTTTAAGAGATCATATAAGAAATGAATGTGGTTGATAGTTTTTTAATTGAAAATTAACATTTCTATTTTTTTCTACTACATGGCCTTTACCATGCTTATAATAAACTTGATTTAAGGTTATTTTGCTGTGCAAACCTATGTAAAGCCTTCTTTTACCAGATATTATTTTCCACTTCTCTATGTTTTGTTTTGTACCAGTAAGCATAAATGTAACAACTATGATTGGGAAAATAAATTGAATCTAGAATTTTAGAATATAAAAATGTTCTTTATGAGCAATGCTGAAATAAACATGATTGGATTAAGTAAAATATGCAAAAAAATTGCAAAAATAAGTATTTCTTTTTCTACTCT